CTTAGAAATTCAGAAGTTGATGCTAGCCTTGTGGCTTTCAAAAGGGTGGCTAGTGGTTATGTCGTGTTTCGCAACTGAAAGACACCGGTTCGAACCTGATCAGGGGCCCGACGATGTACATGATATCTAGGGAAAGGTACTCGAAACGAATTTTCCTCAAAGAGGTTATAAATAGAACTATAATTAAACTACAGGGTGATGAAAAAACAACAACTGTACAACTTTTTTTTTCTGAATATCTCGAACAAAAAAAGTTCTAGAATGCTGTAATTTGAAACAGAAATAATTCAGTCAAAAGGAATTTGTTTGGCATAAAATCCACGAAGAAGAAACTTATTTTGAAAACGGAAATGGCTAAAAGAAAAAAGCACCCATAAACGCAAAGTTCCAAACATTTTTAAAACGTTGCAAAGGAAGGTCGTGAAACGATTGGTTGACCTTTTTCTTTATTTTTACTTTGACATTTAATTTTCCATCCCTGTAACATTCAAGCAATGTCTAATTTCTTTTACAGAGTCTAAAAAACCCCAACGATTTCGTTCTGGGATTCCTAGAAGCAGTGTTTTACATGCCCTCCTTTGGACTCGACACATTTTTAACGCGTCGTTCGAAATGTTCAATGGTGCTCAAACACGAGGACCTGGTAAACAATGAGTGTTTAAAACCACATACACTGTACATATTCAGTATGAAGTGGCTTCTAAAGACAATGGAGTAGGGTGCCTAATAGACAGCATTGTTTTTTTTAAAGTTAACATATCCCGCAGGAGGAAAATGGGCTATGCACTAAACCAAATTATTATGTAATCGAGGAAATTATCCTGCTTTTCAAGACAATCGAGGAATCATGAACACATTGCCATGCTCTAACCCATGTCATCTCGGCCTAGCGAAGATGAAAATGGAACATTCGCAGGTTACGATCTGCCTTGAGAATGCAGACTGTTGAGGTGTAGGGAATTCCTGGCAGCAGTTCTACTACAGACAGACGTCTCTCATTGCACTCGACTACTGAAATCTGCCCCCCGGTGGTGATGTTTAAAAGGCTGCCCGTTCCACCAAAAATGGTCATTTTAAAGGAACTTGTTAGTTCTGATTCGTTATAGATCCAAACTGACGTAGCTTCTCTACTCATGACACCAAAGGTCTTGAGAGCACCTAATCATTCTTTCTACGCCGTGCGCAGAACTTACGAAATGTCAGGGATGGTGATTTTGTGGAGAGATAATGTTCAGTTAAATAAGCTCTCCTGCTCTTTACTAAACTTAACCAAGAGCTCAGCAGGCATACGACATTTGTGAAAAATAATATCTGCAGACTTCTAGACTTCTGTAGCATGCAATATGGCACGATTGTTGCAAATTTTAGTGGTAGGCCTAATGCGAACTAGTTCGTTATGATACGAAGATGGGGACAAGGTTGAAAATGGGTTGTTTTTTAAAATGCGCCATATAGAGCAAAACCATTCACCGGATTTATCAAAAAATGAATATCAAGACAAATTCCTGTTGGCTCCCAATTAGTGTGTTCAAATTTGAAACGCAAAACTTCAGTATGGAGGAAGACAATAATATTTTTTTTAAAAATAAGTTGTATAGTTGTTGTTATTGTTGTTGTTGTTGTTGTTTTTTGGATCACCCTGTATGATTATAAAACTGATTGACTATAATTACACCCTATAATTAAATAAAATCAAGTAGTATGTACTGCTCATAACCTCTTAAAGTTTCTCGTTTCATTCAAGTGGGAATGAGTAGCCTACACGGCTAAAGACAACGAAAGATCTTGTCAGTTTGTTAGTGTTTGAACGCTTCGTGTGCTGCTTGTGTCGTATTCGCAAAGGACGCTTAGAATGTTACTGGGTGTTCTGGGGTCCGTTTATGAGGAGTAGCTGTAAAGCTCGTAGAGCATGCTGTAGAGCATGGATACGAACTCTGTAAATTCCATTCTACAATTTTATCATCATATTATTCATAGTAACATTTTTCTCATTCGAACTCTGTACCTAATTACTTTATATCCCGCCAGGACTATTAATTTCTAGCTTAGCAAAATGGATTCATACTTAATTAAAGAATGATGTAAAATTTTGAATCGGAACGATCGAAGAAGCCAAAGATATTAAGAAAAAATTATGCTCGTTACAAATATTCTTCATGCTCTGACCCTTGCGTAACTTTTCGTTCACTGACACCACGAATAAAATGTTATTTATCGGTACATGTACCAAATGTAAGCTCAGCCATGTCTTGCAATGTTTCAAGGGAAAAAACAAATAATATTGAATTTTGAAATAGTTATACTACGAGTTGCGTCCCTCTATTAATCACCATTTTTTTCGCGTTCTATACGCATTCAATAAAAAATAATATTCATTCTATATGCAGATAAAATACTGCTACAGATATTTAATCGGAGCGAAAACAGATCTTTTTGGGAAATGGCTTGTGTATTGTGATGAGAAATACGATAGGCTAAACTTAAACAGAAAGCCCCCACAAATCAATCGGATGCAAACCAAAGTAAACTTAGGGTAGGCCTACAGTCTAACTTTTTTTTCTGGTATGTGTTTTATGACGCTCACAACTGCATAAGGTCATATGAACGCACGGGACACATTAAACATTTTCAGTAGGAAGGAACTTTTTATTTTTGCCCTGGTGGCGGCCGAAGTCTACTTTGATCGATTTTAGACCACTAAGGGATCATTAACGTGCGCAACTTGCACATGGGACCTCTGAGATTTTTCGCCCTTATCCGAGAAAGACTATATGCAGGTCTTTCTCACCAAAAGAAGAAAGCAGACGACAGAGCATTGCTAGAGGACAGGAAAGGAGGTGAAAGGGGACAATTTGGAAAAGAAAATCTTTCGGTCACTACCTGGATTGGAATCCGAGATCTTTGAATAGGAGGCGAACACCTTAACCTCTTGGCCACGACACCCCCCCCCCCCCCCCCCCCCCCCCCCCCCCCCCCCCCCCCCCCCATCAAACTTTACACTCAACAATTCCGTTCACTTTGTGTAAAAGTAATCCATACTGACAGAAGTTGTTTCATATTAAATATTATTTATTTTCTTTACCTTCACCTATCCCTCTAGTCTGGCTGACCGTTGGGTCACTTACTGCAGATTTTGCAACCAGCTTCTGTTTCTCCCCTGTTGGTTCTCAGCCTTCCAGCGTCGCGGTCAGTCCTCTCTTTGCTTTTATCTACTTCCATCTGTCGACCTGTTTAATTGTCTCCTTACCTTTGTGCTACATGTGTACTCTAGGAGTTAAAAGTGACATTCTATTGTACTCCAAAATTGAAATAATTTGAATGTATGTCTGTTTATCTATTCATCGACACATCTCTAGGCCTATGTACCAAGCATCTAAACATCTGCTACCATGAATCAGTCTATCTTTCGTATTTATAATCTACTTATTGATGAATAAAAAGAGCAGGTTTTAAAGTTTTATTTATCGCAGCGGCTATGTTCACGGCGCCCTGAATATTGTTTGCAATTTAAGAATGATCTTGCTTACTTCACCCCCTACCTTTGTCCCTTTTTCTTTTTTTTTCTTTTCTTAACCCATTCCCACCCCTCTTCCCGCTTTGGCCTTCTTTTACTTTCATTCTCCCTTGTTTCTTTGAACGACTTTTATTTTCAATTTGTTGAGCGTTGCCGCACACGGGAAGAGGATCGAAATTCGAAGTCGTGTTCCGCGCGCTGAGCAAGCGAGGCCTTAATGTCGACTGAGGCTGTCTTGCTGTGCCCGCCTTAACCTCCGTAAACTCCTTTGCATTCGGACCACTGCAGCCTTAGCCTGTATCTTTTTTCACGAGTATTCCTGTGCTGTTTCCTCATTCACTTTGAGTAACCGTAGCATTTCTGCCGTGCCTCTGTGCAAATGGTGGATGATTCAGGTGCCATGAACGAAGGCGTAACCACTGTGTTTATTTATACTGGCCATATTTTGATTGCTTTTACTCACCTTCCCAGATCTCCACCTAATATTCACAAACATAAATGCAATTTAAAAAATACACGTAATTAATATAAAATATATTATGTAGATAATAATATGTGTATCAGCATAATCTGAGGCAAACAAAAAAACATTATTATGATCCTTTCGGTTCCACATTAGGAACGGAATCACGTCATCGGAAGTAGTTTCTCTCAAATCGGAAATTTCCAGTTCATCCTACTTTCATTCGTTTGGCACGGAAACGAGAGAAGGAAGGGAACATTTTATTGCCAGGCATCATGTCCAATACAAAGAGAAAGGAAAACTATTCTGAACAAGAGATACGAACTTTGATTGCAGAAGTTCGTAGAAACAGAGATATTTTATTTGGAGCCTTGAGTAGTGGAGTTTCGGTTCGTACGAAAGCTCAAGCGTGGTTTGATATCACCCAAAAGGTTTGTTTACCTGTATAGCAGGGCAGAGAAACTGGCACCGAGAAACTCACATAAATCACAGTGATTATTCTCACCCGGGGGGATGAGGATAAACTGGATATTATTCACACCTGGGTTGAGGATAAAATTTCAACCGGGTGAGAATAACGACAGCCTACTATTCTCACCTGGTTTTTTCGTTTCGGGCATCATATATTCATAGGACCCCTGTCACTGATGAGCGCTCCAGGCGACAAAACCCGCCTCGCTCCCTCTCTCACTCCGCTGAGCGTGCGAGGCGACTAAAATCGAGAACGGGTGGGCCTGCTCTCGGGCGTGGGAGACGACTATTGTCGATTTGGGGAAAAACCTTATCTTTTGACCAAATAGCATCTCCTTTTGTTGCTACTGTATAAATTTATTGGTTCTGTAATGGAAAATTTTACTCTTGAATGGTTTTTACCAATAAAAATTAAAAGAAAAACAATAAGCCTAGGGTCAAGGCACTGCGTTCCTTAAAAATAATCGTGGGTTCTGCTAGGGTTAACAATTAAACATGTTTTTTGTGTTGAAAACAAATGCCAATTCTAACATTATAAAAGTGACAAACTATTACTACTAACATTATTTCATTAAAACTTAAACAGCTTTCAAAGGCTATTATTTTTAAAAACATACTCCTCTGGCAAGTGAATTCCTTTCTGAATTAGAATACACTTGTCTAGGGTTTTGGTGAAGAAATGTGTGCATACTCTCAACTCAAGATTTAAAAAAATTGAAACAATAACAATCCCCGCGGGAGCTTAGAAAAATCGGCCAGGGCTCTGGTCAGGTCACGAACGGTCACTCTCTTACAATTCACAAATTTTTTTCTATCATCCGTTCTCAACATCCTGGTAGACCTAAAAACCCATTGCATTCTCAGGCCAGGTGAGAATAACATTCATTTTGGTGAGAATGACAATATAATATTATGGATCCATATTATTCTCACCCCGGGTGAAAATAACATTATTTTTATTTTCACTCCGGGTGAGAATGACGACAGCCATAAATTATGAACAGTTAGATTCTAGATCTAGATTCTAGATCTAGATCTAGATCTAGATCTAGCCTAATTGTTGAGTTGAAAAACAAAGAGTCAAAGAGACAACAGCCACTTGACATGCACAAAAAAAGTGTGTTTCCGTTCATTTGAAAATGGTGGAAAATTTTAGGGAGGACTTCCGACCCGTAGCGAGTGACCACTAGATATTAACGAGCGACTCGTTACGGAAGTTCTTCCCAATTTTGCTATCTTCCCACGCTCAAACTGACTGTCGGTTGTCTTTTTTTGCGGAGTAAAAGGCAAAGCGGATATTTGGAGAATGTCAGATGTTCGCCTTGGGCTGGCCTATATTATAGTGACAACCATCTTGCTTGTGTCATAAAATAGTGTTCTTTATTCTGACAAAAGACAAAAGAAGTTCCAGACCTAGATAATCTAGATGATCTACTGTCTCACTGTCTGATCTGGGAAAAAAAGGAGTAAAAATGGAAAGCTTTTTTTTTCCATTTTAGCAAAGTGTTATAATATGCTCATTACATTATGTATGTTGAAGAATCTATTGGTCAAACAAGATGGCTGTTTCTATAAATATCGGCCAATGGCAGGGCTCCCCATTACGCACAAATGTGCGTATATTATAGTCTTCAAGACGCGATACTTCAGGATTTAAAAAAAAAAAATGATAAAACACACACAGGCATGCGGGCACACACACATATGCACGCCCGCGCACACACATACACCACACACACGCACGCGCGTAGAGGGAATATACATGGATATAATACATCTCGAAATTTTTTAAGTCGGCTTGGAAGTGACCTAGGTCATTTAAGTCGTTGATCCCGATTTTTTTCATGAAATCCAAATTTTTTTGCCCTCTGAGATCCTGACTTTTAGATTTCATAGAGTGACAGGTCTATTTTTCTTGGTGTACCACAGTCGGAACTGACCTCTTTTGGTTTGTCAACTTTATTTTATTTTTGATAGGCCCAACTGCTCAACCACACTGGGCACAACTCTAATTCTAGTCAATATTACGCATCTATTTCTTAAGTTAATAAAAAATCGTTACCATTGAATCATAGTCATGGTCACTCTATGTGTGTCTGTGTGAATGTGCGTTTGAGTTAAATGTTTACAAACAAAAAATGTTACTATAAAATTCATTAACAAATCCTCAAGGAATCAAAGTAGCCTTAAGCACAAACCACAAAAAAAAGTTTGAAAGAAATTTAGGTAGCCTAAAAAATTGTTCGATTGATACATTGAGAACTCAGTTTCTTCAGTTTCAGTTGATTATAATTGTGAAGACAGATTTTGGTCATACTGTGTAGTCCACAGCGCCCACGGCAAACCAAAATAGGCCTACATGTAATTTCCTAGAGTCTAGTAAGTGTAGTGTAACTGAAAATTCTCAACTACAATAGTCTCCGCCTAAGATCCCAGTGCTCGGGAGCAAGGGAAATACGGGATCTTAGCCAATGAAGCCAAGGAAGAATCTACAGTGACCCTTGAACTGACGTGACCCCTGGGTGGGTTTATGACATATGGCGAGCAAAGAGTGGTCAACCTTGATGACCAATCACAGTAGCATGGTGGCATGAGGCATGCTATAATATTATACCATACTCTCATTAGCATATCGTCTCTAGATCTTTATCTACGTTTATCCAGTTGCCCCTCCCCTTTACCTGTTCAAGAATTGTAGCCTTCCATATTTGATTGAGTATCCGGCCTTTGTCGTTACATACCATTACGCTGTGACCACACCAATTAAAATTCAGGCTGTCTCGCAAATTCGGGAATAGAGAAAAACTGCCTTCAACTTCAGTGGTCAGAGAAGAGTTCACAGTTCGATGTGATCTTGCCTGGAGCGAAGTTGTAGGCCCTACCCACCCTGATCTTTGACGTGACGGGCAGTTCTTTGATCTCAATTTGGTTGATCGGCTGTGCCCGCCCGGGTATTTGTTCCGTAAATTATGATCAGAAATGCCGGCACTTACTCTTTCATTAAGCTTAAAAAGTACTCAAAATGTACTTTAAAAATATTCAAAAGTACTTTAATAAAAAGTATCAGAGTACAGTAAAGGTACTGGTTCTCAAAGTGTACCGCAGTACAGTAAAAGTACCGAAAATTGTAACATAAGTACAAGTACTGGAGTACTTGTACTCCGTTTCAACCAGCTCTAGATACGATAGTAAAACACGACGTATAGATAAGGAATGCCAATGGTCATTGGATTTGATTAGCATTAGAAGACAATTGAAAGCAGAGACAAATGCAAGTAGAACAAGGGGATCAAAAGCGGAGACATTGGAGCAGTACAGGAAAACAGCTAAAGATGTAAAGAGATCTCTGAAAAAAGACAAGGAGGAATTCATGAACAGACTGGCAGAGGAGGCTGCAGCAAGAGGGAACATGAGAATCCTTAACCAGACTCTTTCTGGAAAATATGAGAAACCAGAAGTACCAGTAAAGGACCAAGAGGGAAAAACCATTTTTGAAAAGGAAGCTCAGTCAAGAGGATGGGTAGAGCATTTCAACAGTCTCCTGAAAGGACCACCACCAAGTAACCCGCCAAACATCCTGCCAGCAAGAAATGAGTTAACAATCTGCTGTGATGCTCCTTCAAAACTAGAGATTCTGGATGCCATTAAGTAGTTGAACAACAGTAAAGCGGCCGGTCCTGATCAGATTCCACCTGAGGCCCTAAAAGAAGATTCCAATATGACGGCAGACCTTTTTCTCCCATTATTTATAAGGATCTAGAATGAGAGCAAGTTCCCAAAGGATTGGAAAGAAGGACACCTTGTGAAACTTCCTAAAAAGGGTGATCTCAGCAACTGCAGCAACTACCGAAGAATCACTCTTCTCTCAATATCAGGTAAGGTCTTCAACAGAATCATTCTGGAGAGAATCTAGTCTGCAACAGATCCTAGACTTCGGGATGAACATGCTGGTTTTCGGAAAAAACGGTCATCCACTGACCAGATTTCTACACCGAGGATCATAGTGGAGTAGTATAGTCCCTGGACTGAAACTCCCAGTTGTTTGTCAACTTCTTTGACTATGAGAAGGCTTTTGACAGCATATACAGAGCAATACTGTGGAAGATACTGAGACATCACAGAATCCCACAGAAGTTGGTTAACCTCATCGAGAGCATGTATGAAGGGACAAGTTGCAGGGTTGTACATGATGGCCAGCTGACTAACAGCTTTGACATCAAGACCGGTTTCAGACGGGTGTTTACTATCACCTTTCGTCTTTATCTTGGCAATTGACTGGCTGATGAAGGAAACCACCAGAGGACACAGAAACGGCTCACAGTGGACCCCATGCTCACAGATGGAGGATCTGAACTTTGCAGCTGACTTGGCGCTTGTGTCACCCACTCAGGAACAGAGATGCAAGCAAAAACAACAATTTTAAACTGCCTATCAGAGTCAGTTGGGTTGAGGATCCACCCCAGAAAGTCAAAAGTCCTAAGAATAGATGCACTACGAAAGGAGCAGGTCACAGTAGAGGGAAATGCACTAGAAGATGTCGAGTCCTTCTGCTATCTTGGGAGTATAATTGACAAAGAGGGAGGAACAGGCCCTGAAATGAAGTCCCGCTTTGGAAAGGCACAGACTGCATTTATTTCTTTGAATAGAATTTGGAGGACCAGGATATCTCACTACATACAAAGCTGAGAATTATAAACTCAAATGTGGAGTCAGACTTGTTATGTGGATTTGAGATGTGGAGCGCATCTCATATGTGCATAAAAAGGATCCAGGTTTTCTTTAACAAGTGTCTGAGGAAGCTACTGAGGATCAGATTGACAGTCAGGATCACCAACGAGGAAGTATTAAGAAGAATGAGACAGAGAGCCCAGTCAGAGATGATGTGGGAAGAAGGCGTTGACGATTTGTTTTCATCAAAAGCAAGACTAATGAGCAATAATTTACTCCATAATAATATATGCCCAAAAATAAATGAGCACATATTTCCATTGTGTAATGACGTATAATACTTTTAATCAAGCTGGTTTTTTTTGGTTGTGTCTTCAGGTGAATTCTATTGCAGAGTGCTACAGGACGCCAGAGGAGCTAAAGAAAAAGTGGAGAAAATTAGCAGCCCAGGCTCGTAGCGATCTGAAAGAGAGGCTGCAACCTTCAGCCGATGGGGTTTCACCCAAGAGGGAGGGGAAGTACACAGTGGTGGTGCTACATATTCTAGGATTAGACGATGTGAAGATTACTACAACTGATGTTGAGGAGACAAATCATAACAGCGACAGTATTGATAGTTCAATGAATGACAGTAAGTTTGCTTGAACGATTTTTGAATTACAGTAGGTTTGTTTCAACCATTTTAAGAAACAGTAAGCCTGTTTTTACCATTTTAAGAATAGACAGTCACTTTGTTTCAACCCTAGTTAGTTTGCTTGAACTTTTTAAAGAATAAACAGTAAGTTTGTTTGAACCAAATAGACAATAAATTTGTTTCAACCTTTTTCATAATGAACAGTAAATTTGTTTTAACAATTTTAAAAATAGTCAGTAAGTTTGTTTTAATGATAATAATAACATTAGATAGTATTTGTATACAGCGAATTCCTCATCATACAGCAAGCTCTATGCACTTTACAATCTATACATTTTTTCCCCAGCAGACCTGATAGCATTCTGAAGCAATCTCAACTTCCTTGGAAGCATACACTGCTAGCTACCATTTTACAGACGCTAAAACAGTAACATACTGACAAAATCTTTAACGGTCTTTGGCCGGGCACCCATTCACACTTGAGTGAAGTAAGGAAAATTTGCATAACATGCCTCTGCTGAGGACTAAACGACATAAAGTGGTAGACCTGCTTTGGATTATATGTTTTCAATGTTTTTTTTCTTTCATTTTCTCTGTTTTATCATACAACACATCTTGGAGTATTATATATATGTATGTCTGAATTTTTTTTTTGCCATCCAGGACTGGAGCTTAATGATTCTCAATGTGACGCCATGGATATCGATCACCTGGGTCTGTTGATTCAGGCGTCTACTGGAAACTCATCGCTGTCTAGCGCAGAGTCAACGTCATTACCCGACACTCGGACCCCCGGTAGGACGTCACGGAAGAGAAAACCGTTTGAGGAAGAGTCCATGAAAGCCTTGTGGAGAAAGTACCTGAAAACAACGACCGAGGCGGCAGAGTACAAAATACAGAGGGAGAAACTGAAGATAAAGGTTCTTGAGAAGCAGCTTGAGCGACTGGAAAAAATGTAGATTCTAAAAAGTAAAAGAGCATATGGACGGAATTTTGATATTTTTAGGTCTGTTGAAAGTGCACATTGTGAATGTGTTTTTAGTTTCTTTCTCTTGTCTTATTGTGTCAGGTTTATGTTTATAATGGAGTACACCAGCTTGTGTTTGGTTCAGCTCAGTGCTTGTGTGCTGCATTTGTAAATAGGGTGAAATCGATAAATAATTTTTTCTAAAATTTGTAAGTCGTTCATGGTGAAATATATTCTATTTTGCAATCTGAAAACACATTTTTTTTGCTTTTACATCTTGTTTGGGGGTAATCTTGAGGAAAAACCCTTCTAGTAGTAGTTTTCTGAATGTAAGCTGGCCTTGAAAATAGAATAATTACTGAACTGAGAATATTTTTTCAGTAGATGAGATTTTCCTAGACAGTTTTAGAAACTTTTGTTTGCTACATATTTTGGAGAGATATGATACTGACATTTCTTTCGAAATAGCAATGTGTGGTAAATATATCAGTAGCTAGATTTTTAAAGTCCACATATTTTTAATGTTTCAGGGAAAACAAATGTGGGTGTGAATTGAAATGTAATTAACAAGTTACCTTTATTGATATTATCATTGCCAATATTGTTCATCTACCTTTTAATGCTACAGAAGTATTGTTTTAAGAATTTTTGGAGGCTGTACAAAGTTTAGGATATCTGACATTCCTGCTGTAAACATTTTTATCACATATTTGCTTGATATAAATGTATCTTGATATGGTGGAATCAGGTACTTGTCAGTTTTTGGGCTTGTGGAGTTATTGGTATCAGCTTAGAACTTGTCCATTTGTCTTGCTTTTCATGAAAATAATACCCTTTTATTTTGAATAGAAGTGGCAATAATTGTAGTTGAAGGAGATCGGGTCACTTGGTCTCAGAGGTAAAATTACCGTGAAAATGACTGCCCACGTTTGGTGACTTCCAAAGCTTGAGGGTCCTTGGAAATTGAAAATTTACATATTTTGTTCTTCTAATCAACCTTTTTCAGTGAAATTCACACAGAAATATGTTTTTGAATGGACATAAAATGTGTTGAACTAAAAAAGCCAACTCAATCAAAATTGCCAAACCATAAAAAAAATACGGATTTCTTAGATTTTATTATATTGACGAGTGCCTGATTTCTCTACGAAGCCTCTCAAATGTATTTTGCTCAGGATTTAAAAGAGTCATGATTTATTCTGCTGTTTTGAGAATAGCAGTATTTTACCCATGCTTAATGTGAAGAGATTATATACACACATTTTTTCTGTGTGTTGCGTATTTGTCAGCTTTCTGTTTCTTCAGTTCAGGCAGTGCTTCAACTGGTTCATATTGTATATACACATGTGTACTTTACACAAATGCTAATAAGAATCATTACCCCTGGCCATTTTCCAATTGAGCATTCAATTACCCCTACCCCTAGATTTCTAAAAGGTAGTGCATGTGGTGTGGAAATGAACGTTAAAAAAGGCATAGAATTTAACCTGCAGAGGCCTTACAGTAGAATGCATTAATGTGGTAGACTGTGTGGTAGACTGTGGTTAGTCAGGTGAGTCGTAAGGTCGACCACATACGCGACTGCCTGGAAAGGGGAAATTTGTAGTTGTGGTTCTTCTCGAAGACAGAAAGATTAATGTATACCCCAAAAGCAGGACTGTCAAATGAAATACTAACATTTAAGGAAACCCTTTAATGCAAGTTGGAAGGGTGTTATCTTACTGGTGCTACACTTAGGGTAGCCCTTAAAGTTATGATTTGTGTTTGAGGAGTTATTGATTGGTCCTGCAAAATGAAAATGAATTGAATACTGGAGAAAGTCACAAAATACAAGTTCTGTATTAATTGAGAGACAGGAGATAAAGTAATTTTTCTGAGGTCTTTTTTTCTCCTTTTATATATTATAAAGATAATAAGATTTTCATTTGCAGCGACTTGCCATGAAATATTAACCCTATCCATTCGTTGTGTTTTACTATTGTATCCATACGACGTGAGGAACTCTGTGCAACCTCTCCCGAAGAGGAAATTTACTTGTTAATCCAATCCGTACGCTTTGCAAAGCAGTCTGTCAAAATGATTTTTTGAGAAAAACTGATTGTTTCAAAGAGCTCTTCATACTAGATTAGAAGTATTCTAAAATGTGAAGAAAACAACCCTGCAGGTACAAAATGACCCCAGGGCGTACGTATAGGGTTAAATGTGTCCCGGCACACTGAAATCATGTGCATGTCAATTTTTGGGTATGTGGAGTCATTGGTATAATCTTCGTTTGCTAACTTGTTTTGCTTTTAATGAAAACAAAAATCAATCTATTTTGAATAGAAGTTGATATATTTGCGACTGATGGAGGTGGAGATGTCCTTGTGTCAGAGGTAAACTTAGCGAGAAAATAATTTCCAAATCACACAGAATTGTATCTTTAAGTTGATGCTGAGTCAAGAAAAAGAAACAAAACGAAATTCAGTAAAAATTGGCCAATAGGCAGAAGAATGTCTGTGTCTTTGATTTCATAGTCTTGACGAATGCCTGTTTTCACCATGATGCCACACATTTGTTATTGCGTCAGTCACAGGAGGAAGACAAGCCGTTTCATTGTTCAAACAAATACGCAGTGTTTTTTTTTTGCTACTAGTGATGGAGTTTGAAACGGCAAGAATTTCTCTCCCGTATTGTATAATTTTTAAAATGGCGTTTTTAACTCCTTTCACCGGCAAGCTGCTCCCAGCGGCTCCCAGTTAGAACCGCTGTTTTGGTGAGGATCGGGCATTACATTCCTGTACGACAAGTTCGAAGTTAAATTAATTTTCGGTAATTGTGGAAAACAGGTCTCTTTTACCAGGAGTTCTTTCTTTAGATGAAGGACTATCAAAATAGGTTAATTTGTTTTGATTTAACGACCAATTGAGTGATGTATTTGCCTCTTTTAGATTTTGCACCAAAAGAGGGTCCGGACATAGTGGGTTTACCACCTCGGAGATAAAGAGATAATGAGCTTTGTTACTGTCCATTTCACAGCTAATTGTACATAGAAGGTGATCATGTACTGGATTTTTTTCAAGGATGCCTTGAGTTTGAAAAAGCTAACATTTTTAAACTCTCATTTTGTCTTTTCACATTTTTACAATGGCCTTTTAAAAATTAGATGTGTGACTTTTCATATCCCAGACAATTGTACATATAGAAGCTGATGGTACATTGCATTTTTCTATGATACCGTATGGTTCGGGTTTATTGTTTCTATTGTCATTTTAAGGTTATTTATGAGGTAGGACTTCTGAATTTAGACTCCATGTCTTTGTGGTAGGACCAGACCAAGTGTGCATTTAAAAAACGAAACAAAAACTAATGTTAATGTTTTTACACCTCATCAACACAATTTAGATAATTTAAGAGGCAGGCTTGCCTGTCAGGGCCAACCCGGGATAAGAGGGATACAGTGTCCTAGCAGAAAGTCTGAGATGCCTGATAAAGATTCTCTCCACCAGGGAATCAAACTGGTCTCCTACGTGCTACGGTGCAGCGTCTAACCGTAGCACTTCAGACGCCGTTCTTAGTGGGTAGAGAGTCTTCACTCTCTCAAACGTTAGTTTCGTAAGAGTTTTACGGCGCTTGCAACTGCTTAAGGTCATATGAGTGCGTGAAACACAAGTTAGTTGCTTTCAGGACAGTTCACAGCATGTCTTCATTTTGGTCAATGGTCAGATTAAAATGTTAAATATTCACGGGAAAAATCTCAAACTGAAAATGAAAATTTACTTAATATTAAAATAACTGTAGATCTATATCACTTCTTTTTGTAATTCTAAAATGAGAATTTACACTTTGGAGATTCGAACAGGAGCCATCTGTATTGTTGACCAGTTTTATACCTACTGAGTTACTCATATGCCCAATTTTTTCTTCTTGTAACCGATCATTGCTTTTGAATTTTTAACTTAAAGGGAGATACCTTGGTCACAATAATATTTTGGTAGAGTTATGGCCCTTGTTTGAACGTAGTACCAACTTGCATTTCTGGCTTTTTCTTAGTGATGTTGGAAAGGAGTATTTTTATTGTTAAAAACGTCTTAGATCTAGTAAGCTGTTGAAGTCTTTTGGTGGTTTAAAAAATTAGTTTAAATTACATTGTTGTATTGTGCTATTTTCATGCAGCAATCATAATGGTAGGGCCTATAGGCCTAAGGCTTCACGCAGGAGATCTGAGTTTGATTCCCGAGTGGGGAGAAATTTTTATCAACTATCTCAGACTTTCAGCTGGGATGTTGTCTCCCTCTCAGTCAGGGTTGGCTCTGACAAGCTGGGTTGGAAGCCCACCTCCTAGATGATATAAATTGTGTCATTGTGGGGGGAAAATACATTCATTTAAAAAAGTTTTTTAAATGGGCGAAATTTGAAGCTAATTTTCACCTTACCACGCAGTGGACACGTGTCAGATCATCCATAGATTAAACAAAGGCAATGTTGTAGCACGTCTAGAAGCACCACACTCGAACCAGAAACATAACTTTGCATATTTCATAAAATTATCTTTTCTATTTAGGTTTCAGATTCAGATCAATTAAGCAAAATTGAAAAATAAGCCTGAATAATGAAGTGCCCTAAAACAACAAGTCTTTCTATGTGGTGGGATAACCAGCATGTGCGACCTCCTTGATGTGGTCAGTATCCACATCCACATTGGGTTTACTTTTTAAGAACTTTTGATTGATACGGCAGCTATCATCTTCCTATCGTTGGCGGAACTTTAAAACTGATTTTTAATTGTTGTAAACAGCTCTCTTTTACAGTGAGTTCTTTTGTCAGATGGAGAATTATAGATAAATAAATAAATACATAAATAGCCAAATAAATAGATAAAGATAGAGGGACTATCACTGCCCTGAATTTTTTTTAGAAGGTCATTATCCTCGTGTAGTAAGGTATATCGCTGCAGTTTCCTTTTTCCGGAATGACCTCAGTTCATGTTACCATGCTCAATTAAACGTCAATGTTCCTAAAAATTGCATATCATAATTGTAGGGGTTTGCACACATCGCGACCTCAGTGCTGTCTTGTCATATCTCAATTTTTTTAAACAATGAAAAGAGTTCATAAGAATGAGTGAGCTTAAGAAGAAGTCACATTTTCAATGTTAAAAGAAATAGAGATACGACAAGAAAGCACTGAGGTCGCGACATATAAGCTCATTTTGTTTGATTTAATGATCAATTAAGGTGATATATGTATATCACTTTTAGGTTTTGTACAAAAAGAGGGCCCTGGCATGGTGGCCCTCTCCAGACATGAGTTAAGTAGAAAGAGAAAAGATGCAATGGTGATATATTATTATGTGTCACAACATGGTGTATCAGGCTCTCATCCATTTTTGGGCATGTTGAGTTACTGGTATCATCTTAAAGATTGTTCACTTCTTTTATTTTAATGGAAAAGAAAAATATCCATCTAACTTGGATAGTAGTTGAGATATGTGCTATTGAAACAGGTGGGGGTTGACTGGTGTTGGAGGTATGTTGTTATTGATTCAGAGTGTAGGAGGGGATAAGTGAGAAAATGTTTGCCAACGTTTGATGACCTCTGAAGCTGAGTGTCCTTGGAAATTGTAAATTTGCATTGGGGGGGGGCTTCGATCAATATTTTACAGTAAAATACCTACTGAAATGTATTTTTAAATGGACATAAAGTGATTAACCAAGCCCCTCTGAAATTTGAGAGAAATAAATTTGTCTATGGTCGAGAAAATGCTGTTTATTCTATTTCATGGTTTTGATGAGAGCCTGGTTTTACCATGATGTAACACATAGGGATTAAATTATGGTTCGGATACCGTTCAACTGGTGCTTAATTTATTGTCAGATGTAAAAATAACTTGCGTAATTTATTGGGATTTAAAAAAAAAAACGTGGTATAGAATATTTTATAGATGTATAATAATAGACTATGCCTATTTGTTTCACTGT